GTAGTTCCGGGCGCGGAGGCCGGGGCCGGGCCTGGGCGCTGGGTGCAGGCGGCGCCGGGGCGACCTGCCTCAGTTTCCCCGCCCGGGGGCGGGGGGCGGCGGTCTGGCGCGCTGGGGAGGCCGCCGCTGACCTTGAATGCGTCCCCTCGCCTTGCTGACCGGTCCCCTCACTCCCCGCCTGCAGCCAGGGGGGCTCGCACCCTCGTGCCTCGCAGCCGGGGCCCCCTCGGGTGCTGCCGAAGGGGCGGCTGGGGGGCCCCCGCTCGCAAATCCCCACCTCCCCCGGGGCGGGCGAGGGTGCAGGGATCCAGGTTGCGTGGCTCTGCCCCCCTCCTCCACCCAGCGCTTTCTCCTTGTCCTTCAAGGGCTCTTCTCACCTGCCGCAGCAGCTGAAGTTCACGACGTCCGACTCCTGCGACCGGATCAAGGATGAGTTCCAGCTCCTGCAGGCGCAGTATCACAGGTAGGGCGCCTGGGGCCTGCCTGGTGGGCACTGTGGGTGGGTGGTGTTCGCGGTGGGGTCTGCCAAGCCTAGCCCCCCCACCCTGGGGAGGGCCCTCCTCTCTTCTTGCCACGGCTGGGGCTTTGCCTGTTGTCACGCCAGCGCTCGCAGATGCTGCGGGAAGGGGCTGGGGTTCAGGAGCCAGCGGCCTGGCTCTCCGGTGCATCAGAGCAGGGCTCAGGGTCCTCCCCTTGAAGGTGTTGCCATGCAAGGAGTGTCTGGACGGTGGTCAGGTAGAGAAAGTGTTGGACAGACTCGGCAGGAATAAAAGCAGGATCCCTGCAACGTCTCCCCTGCCTGCGGTCTCCAGGGTATTGATCCCGTGGGTAGGGACGGTTCTGCACAGGCGAGTAATCCCTGAGCAACATGCACTGCCCCCCCCAGCTTGTATTTGAGGGTCCAAGAGCGGGGATTGCCAGGGCTAAAGAGATTCCCCAGCTGGAATGAGAAGCAATGAGCCCAGGTTAAAAGAGATCCCAGGTGACCCTGTAGCTAACTGGAGATGAAAGCATTAAATCTCCCCTTCGCTGGGCCAGGACAGGGAGATTAGACCAGCCCCTTGTGAATCTCTGCTTAGTTTCACATGCCTTTCTCACAGCTGCAGTGTTTAGGCTGCAGATGCTGGGAGGAAATGTTCCTATCCAAACCCTTCCAGAGCCACCGCTCTGCTTCTTTTTCTTGGGTAATGAAATCTAAAATGCCGGGCTTGAATCTGCCTGGTGAGAGTCTCCTTAATTATTAGGCCTGGCTTATTTTGCGCCCGCTGATACGACTTCCCATAGCTGCCCATCCGTCGCCGACAGTCCCTGGGTCCTCCGCATCTCGGCCCGCTTCCCGCTGGATGCCAGGAGCGTGGGATCCTGCCCGCAGGGCCCAGCGGCTGAGGCGTGGGGCGGCCCGAGGTCACTCATTGGGAAGGGCCGACTTTCCCGCGTGCCTCTGCTCTGAAGCCGTGCCAGCTGCGGGGCGCAGGAGCACTAGCAACATATCCGCAGTCACCGTCTTTCAGTGGGAGACATTTGCTGGGTTTAATCTGCTGAAAGAGAAACGGGTTCTGTGCGAGCAAAGCTGGTTCTTGCT